CCTTCAGCTCGCTGATGAGAGTCGCCGGTGAGAGTTCTACTGAGTAACCATCCCCACTAGGCAAGCGAATATCCACCTTCATGGCACAACAGGTGCTTCCAAATTGCAACAAATACAGCGTGAGACTGTGGGCCCGGTTTTGAACGGTTTGTCCGGGGAAACCCAGCAATTGATGTGCAAAGATTTCCGCTGAAAATCCAGCTTCATGGCGCAGAAAAACAACAAGGTTGACAAAGACGAATTGGGGATACAAACATGTATCTCAGGAAATCCCAATCGTTTGCAGTTCAAATCCTAGATGCGACTTCAGCAAAGATCCTGCTTTTGAAATGTTCCCATCTGTCTAGCTGGCAGTTGGGGTTTGCTTTTTGTTGAGGCTACAAAAAGGCTTGCTATTCTTTGGTTCTCCTTTAAACCGACCCCCCTTTTAGGGTGCCATTCAAGCTGTTTGTGAAAGACGTTCATTTAGAGATCGATGTGGTTCGTTGGATGCCAGGCATCGGCTATCGATCAGACAGGGTGGAACCGCGGAGAGCCAACACCCAGGCGGATCGGACGACAAACCCAGGCTGAGCTACCAATTTCCTTCTGACTCACTTCCTGAGTGGATGGGAAAAGAAAACCAAACCGTCCATTCACCACTAAATTGCTCTTCCCCCCCCAAAAAAAGTCCAGGAACTCAGGAAGCCTTCTGAGCCTCGTAGGTTAGAATAGGCTACAACCATGGTTACAAGGGAACCAACCCCAGGTACCCAAATACCCTACAACATCTGCTTCTGACCCTTTTGATGCGACCCAATTGTTCTAAGTAAATGAAACCAAAGGGCCGCATCCATCTTGGCAAAAAAAACCTCAAGCCCTGCCCGAAAATGGGATCTGAAAACACCTCTCGAAAGACTTCATGAACCAAACTACTTAGGGGAAACACCAAGAAACACAACTGGCTTATACCAAACCGCCAAACTACCTGAAGCTAGGTCCTCCAGTAGAGAGGCTAGAAGAAGGGTACCAACTTTTTGCGGCAGTCTATTTTAGGGGAACCGAATCTCCCCACCAAAAAAGTAACAGCGAGAAAGGAGTCAACAAGGGAAATCGGTCACTGGGGGCCCGATCGGTAACTCTAAGCCTTAGGAACTGGAGTAACTGCTGCGAACCGCTCCAAACCGAAACCGCGGCATCGGTTTTTCGGGGCCCGGTTGATCCGAGATCACCGGGTACCTTTGGTAGTGGGGGGGGGGGTGGGGGGGGTGGGGCTCATTCCTTGTCCATTCTTTTCAACCATCGTTCCTTCTGTTGTTTCTTCAAAAAACGCCGTTTTCCAACTGGGTGTCCGGAGGAAAGAAGCATCCCTGGAAAGAACGGAAATGGAAGGTACCTCTGGAAAACTGACGGTTTTGTGCAGCCGATCCGAGCTAAATAAACAGAACCCAGAAAACACAAACCAAAAAACCTCACCTGCGAAACCTGACCTCAGAGCCGACCCCGGAGCCTATCTGCCTAGCTGCAAAGCTTTCAGCAATGGGGAATCAACAGAGCTCAGACAAAAATATCCACGACCCAAACACTTGGTGCAAGAACAGTGAAGATAAGTCACCAGGGACTCCCGACCATGGCAGCCTGGGAGAAAAAAAAAAGCGGGCCGAAGGAAACTTCACGTCCGAAGCGGCTTGGCGCCCAAAGAAAAAACAACAACAACTCCAACCTGATTGATTTGCCACTCAAATGGCCTTGCCAAACCCAAAAGTGAGCGACTCAAGCCCAGGAACTTGGGGAGTAAGAACGGGACTCTCTTCGGTAAGGTCGCTTGTGAGCACTCAAGCCCCCCCACCCCGCCCCACTTCCCCGCGCCTCGGTCGTTTTTGAGGCTACCATTTTTCGAGATACTTTGCTTTACATTTGTTTTTATTGTTTTTAACATGTCATTTTTGAGAGTGCCACTTTTTGAGATATTTGCTTTAAAGAAAGAAACACCAGTTACCAACCACACTCTTTGGGGGGGATTCCAACCTACAAAAAGAGACACGCTATCTGGAATCCACAGTCGGCAACTGGAAGCTTCGAAAGGGCTCGGCGCCACGATGGGACCCGGCAGCTGGTTGACATGGTGAGTCCCAACCGTTGGTGTGACCCAAAAGAGTTGGGTCAAGTAAGGACCCGAACAAAGAAGCACTGGTTGGACATCTGCCCAAAAGAGTTGGGTCGCCACGTTTCGTGCCAATTTGTAGGGAGTCTCCAGGTAAAAAAAGCCTTAACAAAAAAAAGCCTTAATAAAAAGGACCTGGAAACGGAAGGGGCGTTGCAGGTCGATTCGTGGGCAAGCGAGTACCAGTTCTGGTTGCCATGGATTTGCAGAATTTCCCAACCACTTTTTGCCGAGTTTCAATCAGTAACTCATTCGGTGCGCATTGCATCGCGCTTTGTTTCTCACCCCAAACCCTAAATGTGAGCAACAGCGAATACCGAAAATAACTGTGGAATGCACCTCTGGCTTCTTGCTCTTCACGCCCCGAAGGCAACATGCCGTCCATGTTACAGCAGCCCAAGATTCAAGCTCAGCTGCTCTTGCACCTGGCTGCTGTCTCCGCCGAATTCTGGATCGCCCCAGGTCACAACAGCACCAGATTCCAGAATGGCAGCAAAAGCGCGGGCAGTTGCTTGGACGTGCTGGACGTTTCTGAGCTCATCTTGCACCTGGCTGCTGTCTCCGCCAAAGCCTGGGTCACCCCAGGTCACAACAGCCCCAGATTCCAGAATTGCAGCAAAAGCACGGTCAGTTGCTTGGATGTGCCGGACGTTCCGCAGCTGGTCTTGCACCTGGGCGCTGTCTCCACCAAAAGCTAGATTGCCCCAGGTCACAACAGCCTCAGATTCAAGAATGGCAGCAAAAGCAGTGTCAGTTGCTTGAATGTGCTGGACGTTCCCGAGCTGCTCTTGCACCTGGCTGCTGTCTCCGCCGAATTTAGAATGACCCCAGGTCACAACAGCCCCAGATTCAAGAATGGCAGCAAAAGCCTGCTCAGTTGCTTGGATGTGCTGGACGTTCCTCAGTTGGTCTTGCACCTGGCTGCTGTCTCCGCCATAGCCTGGGTGACCCCAGGTCACGACAGCCCCAGATTCCAGAATGGCAGCAAAAGCACCGTCAGTTGCTTGGATGCACTGGACATTCCTCAAGGGTGGTTGAGGGACATCCACAAACAAAAAAAAAAAAAAAAAACAAATAAAAACAATTCTCAAGAGAAAACAAAATCAAAAAAAAAAAAAACAGAAAAACAAACTCTACTTCACCTACTACTGATTCTATCCGCCACTGTCTGGATCTCCCCAGGTCACAACGGCCCCAGATTCAAGAATGGCAGCAAAAGCACCAAAAGTCGCTTGGATGTGCTGAACGTTCCTCAGCTGCTCTTGCACCTGGCTGCTGTCTCCGCCAAAGCCTGGGTGACCCCAGGTCACGACAGCCCCAGATTCCAGAATGGCAGCAAAAGCACCGTCAGTTGCTTGGATGTGCTGGACGTTCCTCAGCTGGTCAATAGCCACCCCTGGCTGCCTGGTCTCCGCCAAAGCCTGTGTGCCCCCAGGTCAGACAGCCCCAGATTCCAGAATGCAAGCAAAAGCAACTGTCAGATGCATTGCAGAGATGCATGACGACCACCATCTGGTCATATGAGCACCTGGCAGCATGTCTCCGTCCCAAGCCTTGGTGAGCCAGGACACAACATCCCACGATACAAGCATGGAGCAGCAAAAGCAAAGAAGTTTGCTTGGAATGTGCTGGATGCTCCTCCTTTGCTCAATTCACACTGCTGCTGGACCTCCGCCACAGTTCTGGACCAACCCAGGTCCCCAATAACCAGGCCCAAAGGCCAACCCAAAGCAAACCTTATGAGAGGCCAGCCAGTATTTCCAAGCAGCACAATCGCAAGCAACCCCTTCCCTCATCTTAGCAAGCCAGCCTCACTGAGGCGTCTGGTCAAAGTCGACAGCTTGCCGCCTATCGCGCAATGAGCTCAAGCGGCGCTGGAAATGCTGCTGCGCTGCAGCCTTGAGCTCGCTGGCAAGCTTTGCCGGCGAGACTTCTGTGGAGAACCCACCTCCACTGGGCAAGAGGACATCCAGCTTCATGGCGCAGAAAAACAACAGGTTGACAAAGACGAATTGGAGATAAAAACGTATCTCAGGAAATCTCAATCATTTTTGCAGTTCAAATCCTAGATACGACTTCAGCAAAGATCCTGCCTTTAAACTGTTCCCATCTGTCTAGGGTGCCATTCAAGCTGTTTGTGAAAGACGTTCATTCGAGATCGATGTGGGTTCGTTGGATGCCACGCATCGGCTATCGATCAGACAGGGTGGAACCGCGGAGAGCCAACACCCAGGTGGATCGGACGACAAACCGAGGCCGAGCTACCAATTCCTTCTGACTCACTTCCTGAGTGGATGGGAAACGAAAACCAAACTGTTCATTCACCACTCAATTGCTCTTCCCCCCCAAAAGAAGTCCAGGAACTCAGGAAGCCTTCTGAGCCTCGTAGGTTATAATAGGTTACAACCATGGTTACAAGGGAACCAACCCCAGGTACCCAGATACCCTACAACATCTGCTTCTGACCCTTTTGATGCGACCCAATTCTTTTAGGTAAATGAAGCCAAAGGGCCGCATCCATCTGTCAAAACAAACATCAACCACACAAAGGGACACGTCCTTTTTCTCGAACCCCGAAAGACTTCATGACGGCCTACTTAGGGAAACACAAAGAAACACAACTGGCTTACCAAACCACCAAACTACCTGAAGCTAGGTCCTCCAGTAGAGAGGTTAGAATAAGGGTACCAACTTTTTGCGGCAGTCTATTTGAGTAGGGGAACCCTCCCCACCAAAAAAGTTGGTGAGAAAGGGCACCTAGCTGGGGCACCAATCAAGCAACCCGAGTACTTCAAGGCTGGTTAGGCTCCCTCCTCATGTTTGCACACTGACTATGACACCCGTCTGACCACCCGCGCCTGGAGGTCACTCGAGGGCTGGCCAGTGTCCTGAAAAAAACCGACGGCGCCGAGAGAAAAAAAGGCTTAGGGAAAATAACCTATAGGTCCTCCAGTAGAGAGGTTACCCGCCCACTCCAAATACCCGCTTTTTCAGGGTATCATGTAAACCCTCTACTAGAAAAGGAGGTATTTACCTTCAAAAACCAGGTTTTCCAAAAATATCCTAGAACAAGTTGGTATTTGGAGTAGGGGGCAGAATAAGGGTCCCCTTTTTCTGTAGCCTATTTTAGTATAGGGAACCCTCCCACCCAAAGAAGGGAGACAAGGGCACCACTGGGGGACCTAGAAAATAAACTTTTGGCATGCCACGTCACCCGAAATAATTCCTTCCAAGCGAACCTGGGCCAACCAACAAAAACGACAACAACAAAACAACAATAACTTACGAAATAACAATAATAATAATGACGTAATATTACTAAGAACAATAAAAGTAATAATAATAATAATGATAATAACAATAATAGTCATAATAATAACAGTAATAATAATAATAATAAGAATAACAATAATAATAACAATAATAATAACAATAATAATAATACTAATAATAATAATACTAATTATAATAATAAGAATAATAATAATAACACACCAACAAAAACACGGAAAACAACGGAACAACAACAACAACAACAACAACAACAACAACAACAACAACAACAACAACAACAACAACAACAACAACAACAACAACAACAACAACAACAAACACAAACAACAACAACAACAACAAACACCAACAACAACAACAACAACAACAACAACAACAACAACAACAACAACAACAACAACAACAACAACAACAACAACAACAACAACAACAACAACAACACTGGATCCGGGCCGTTCCTTGATCAATAATACTTACGAAATAACAATAACTGCCATGACCCAAATGAGAAATCGGGACGTGGAAAAAGTCCCAAACGTTGGTTTTGTGAGTTGGGTCACTTTTCGCAAGGGTGCCAATTTCTGGGGAGTCTCCACCTGGGATGGCTGTTTTTGGTTTGGGTCATACGCTTTTTTTGTCCGAAAAAAAAAGCCATACGGTTTTTTACGGCTTTGTTTCAACAACATGTCGAAAAAATATGGGTTTCATACGGCTGATTAACGCACATGACCAAAAACTAATGGCCATACGGGCAAATACGGCCAAATACGGGAGTTTGACCGGAGAAAAAAACAAACAACCAAAAACAAACAGCCATACGGGGTGCCAGGCAGGTAAAAAAGCCTTAATAAGAAAAAGTCATGGGGTTGTGGGGGCAGCTTAAAGCCGCGGTGATTTGTAGGTAGCTCACTTGCCCCTTATTGCCCCGGGAACAAAAGGTGATCACCTGTTGGAACCAAAAGACGAAAAATTGACCAAACCAAGGAAACGGAAGGGGTGTTGCAGGTCGATTCGTTTGGGGCAAGTTCCACCCCTTTTAAGAAAACTGGATTTAGCAAGTTCCCCAAGCCACTTTGTTTTTTGCTGAATTTGCAGGAAGGAAATTCATTGGGCGCGCACATTCGCTCTTGCTTCTGACCCCCCAAAAACCCTAAATCCGAGCGAACACGAATAACAGAATATTTCTGGTGGAAATGACCTCCTGTCTTCTGCTCTCACAGCGCCCTCCCTCAGCATCATGCTGTCCATCATACAGCACCCAATATTCAAGCTCATCTGCACATGCAAACCTGGGCTTGCCTGTCTCCGCCGAGTTCTGTGATCGCCCCAGTCACAAATAGCACCTAGAATCCAAGAATGGCAGCAAAGCGCGGACGAAAACGCAGAATTGCTTGGACGTTCTGGACGTTCCTCAGCTGATCTTGCCCTGGCAGCTGTCTCCTCGCCAAAGCCTGGAAAACCCCAGGTCACAACAGCCCCAGATTCCAGAATGGCAGCAAAAGCATGGGTAGTTTCTTGGATGTGCTGAACATGCCTCAGCTGCTCTTGCACCTGGCTGCTGTCTCCGCCGAATTTAGAATGACCCCAGGTCACAACAGCCCCAGATTCAAGAATGGCAGCAAAAGCCTGCTCAGTTGCTTGGATGCTGTGGACGTTCTTCAGCTGCTCTTGCACCTCGCTGCTGTCTCCGCCAAGCAGTGGATGACCCCAGGTCACAACAGCCCCAGATTCAAGAATGGCAGCAAAAGCACACTCAGTCGCTTGGATGCGCTGGACGTTCTTCAGCTGCTCTTGCACCTGGCTGCTGTCTCCGCCGAATTCTAAATGCCCCCAGGTCACAACAGCCCCAGATTCAAGAATGGCAGAAAAAGCACCGCCAGTTCTTTGGATGCACTGAACATTCCTCAGCTGCTCTTGCACCTGACTGCTGTCTCCGCCACAGTCTGGATCGCCCCAAGTCACAACGGCCCCAGATTCAAGAATGGCAGCAAAAGCACCAAAAGTTGCTTGGATGTGCTGCACATTCCTCAGCACCTGGCCGCTGTCTCCACCAAAAGCTGGATTGCCCCAGGTCACAACTGATCCAGATTCAAGAATGGCAGCAAAAGCACCATAAGTTGCGTGGATCTGCTGGACGTTCCTCAGGTAATCTTGCACCTGGCTGCTGTCTCCGCCAGAGTCTGGGTCTCCCCAGGTCACAACAGCCCCAGATTCCAGAATGGCAGCAAAAGCACCGTCAGTTGCTTGGATGTGCTGGACGTTCCTCAGCTGGTCTTGCACCTGGCTGCTGTCTCCGC